CCAGAAAAAAAATGTTTGAAGTATATTTATTTATTTAGTAAACACACAACAAACTGCTAGTGGTTTTAAATTGGGATGACAGAATCCCATATGTGTTTACAAGAACAACTCTTAGATTATATCACGTATGTTTTATTACACCAATGGGAACCCTCTTTGTTGAATCAAAAATGGTCCTACAACTTGTTGGATATGAACGCTTTATAAATATGGTATGGCACTTGGTTAAAAATTGTGATTATGTTAACAGAGCTAATAACGGTTAAAAGTATTAAAAGCTTCTAAGGAATGTTTGAAACATGTTATTTATATGTATATTTGTTGGAATGGACTGTAGATCTGGTAAGACATGAAATGTTCTACTTTGCAAATACAATCAACTTTCTGGAAAAAAGAGTTTGACAGCTGTTTTGAGTCATATCATGACCGTGCTGACTTGCAATTTCAAATATAACTCAACTCATGGCTTACACTTATGATACGACTCATATTGTTGAACATTGCAAATGGTGGTGAAATAAAGAGCCATAATCCAATAAGGAACCCATTAGCTGCCCACCCCTCTTATCCCATAAAATCAGAAAGAAAAAAAAAAGAAAAAAAGTAATGAAGTAATGATTGGTGTAGCAACACCTTTGAAATACATAATTCTGTTGACAATACTTTAAAACATGTATGGAGCACTCCACAAGTTTATGCCACCATATGGACGGACAATTGATTCATGATTAGAATAGTTTTTCAGTCCCTCGGTACTCTTCATAATAAAAACATTTAAGTGGCCAGAAAAAAATTTAACAGTTGGAGCAAACAATAGCACCAGCAGAGTTTTAATTTCTCTCTCTTTTTATTTAATTGACTCATGGACACTTACATCTAAATGCTAAACTTAATCATACCCATTTCTCTTAAATGCCATAACACAATCTTAAATTTACTGATCAAGTTGGGTGGATGACACATCAATTTTGTACATAAATGTTGGAATTGATAATGATGGAATAGAGTCATATCTAGGTATTTAGTTTTTGAATGGCTATGAAAAACAAGTTTGTCAAATACCAAACTTTGATATGCCGTGTCTTTTATCTAAACATTCACCAACATATGAAACATAAAAAATTCATATTCTAGCTAAAATACAATGCAAAAGTTTAAGTCATTAATCTGCTCTTACTACAGATTAATTCGTTTTCTTATCACAAGTAAAAGAAAGATTTCTGATAGAAATGCATACCCACGCACACCCACACAGCATTACCTAGATATCTCTTGCACATTGCCAGATATTTAAAGGATAGCAAAATAGTAGTACTGGTAAATCACATCATATAGATGTACACAATACAGAGCAATGTCAAAATAAATATCTTATAGACATTCAAGCACTCTTTTGAAAATGATTTGCAAGTCTTCTGTCTGCATTCAGATATCTCACAGATACGTCAAAGATATATTTTGCTGTGTGGGATACAAGGTAGACCATCATACAACAACTCATAAGTTGATGCTTTCCATGGCTATGATTCATGAGATAAAAAAGGAAAAGTGATGTCAACTGAGTCAACTGAGAAACCAGAATTGAAGCCACATCACAGGAAAGAGAGATGTGACATAGTGCTATTTTCAGACTCCCAAGTGCACTTTTCATATCATTATGCTGAGAGAATGACAGTTTTTTTTTTTTTCAAGCTAACTATATACAGATGAACTAAGAAATAAGTTTATGGAAAAAAATTCATTAACCACATGATAAATGAAAATACAATTTACAGAAAAGTACAGTTTGAATGATTTTAGATAGTGCACCAATTAGAGAAAGGAATAAATTCATATCTCTTTGAGTGGGAATGGCATAACATTTTGTTAGGACATTAATTTCTTCATGTCAAATTCAGGATGTGCCTCTGCAATTTGCATGTTCCTTTTACTGATGGGGCAACTGTATCTAGTGCACTATGAAGGGAAATTTCTAGAAGGCTGAAACCAGATAATACTTGGATAACACTGGAGAAATTTATACCCACTATTCTTTTAAGTAAGCACTTTGCACACTAAGTTCATAGACAACATAAACTGGCTTATTGCAGGCACGTGTCAATCACACAGTCAGAGTTGAATTGACCAAGTTGCAGTTTGAGATGTATGTAATCAAGATAAATACTTTGACATTTTCTCTAAACCAATGATACCATCTCAAATTCCTCTTTTCTTAAAAAAAAAAAAAAGAAAAAAAAGTGGCAAAATACTGCATCAAAACTGACTGCATCTTATCATAAGTTCATGTTGTTTTTTTAACCCAAGGCGTGACTATATTACATCTTGGTCACACCACAGTCAATCCATTAATAATCACCCTGGTAACTGAATCCCTTTTGACTGCAGCGGGTGTGCCATGCTGACAAATTTCTTTTCAGGGCATGATTCTCCATGGAGAACGTGGAGGCCCCTACCTAGACCCTTTGGGGATCATTCCCACCCTGCAAGTCACTGGGGTCGAGGGGGAAACGGAAGGTGCGGGCCTGGGGGGCCTGGGGCTGGGGCACGAACACGGGCGTGGTCGTCTCCTCGTACAGCTTCTTGTAGACAAAGCCGCCGTCCTTCTTGGTCTTGATGAAGGAGCCGGGGATACCGCCGAACACTTTGTGCTGGCCGGCAATAGGGAGGCCTCCGAGCTGTCGGAACATGGGCGACTGGAAGCGAGCGTGCCGCCGGGCGCGGCGCCTCCTGACCAGACAGACGACCACGTTGGACACGACGAGCACCGTGGTGGCAAGCAGCGCACCAATGGTGAGCACGGGCCACAGGTACGGGTTGCCGCGGTGAGTGAAGGCCAGGTAATCCGTGCCGTTGCTGTTCGAGTCTGAGATGAGGTTGGTGTCGTCGTAGTCATCCTCATCCTCGTCCTCGTCATCCTCATCATCATCATCCTCCTCGTCGGCACTTTCCACATCGCTATTTTCCACATCGGCGTTGGCCGTGGACGAATCATCCGAATCGGAATAGTAAGAGTCGTCGGACTCCTCAGAGTCGTCCAGGTCGTCGAGGACAGTGGCGGGGACCGTGAGCTTCTTCTTGCCGAGCACCACCTGGATGTCGTCAAGCTCCTGCTCCGTGACCCCCTTCCTCGCCGGGGCGGGCCTGGCCGGCGCGGCGGTCGTGCCTGCGAACGAGGCCAGGATGCTGTTCTTCTCCTTGATCCGCTCGCGGTCGAAAGCACTAGCGCCGCAGAGGGAGTCGTACACGGCGGCCCAGCGAACACGCAGGCTGCGCTCCTCCATCATGTCCTCGACGGCGTGCATCAGGTCCTCCTTGAGCTCGCCGGCGGTGGCCGCGACGACGCCCTGTTTGCGGTCTGAGCGCGGCGCCACGGACTTCTTGACGAGCCACTCCATCACGTTGTACAGGTCCTTGGTGCACCGGATGGGGTTCTCGCTGATGTCCAGCACCGTCTGGGGGCGAAGAAGCACGTCAAGTCGGGGCTCGGGGGCAGCCGAAGTTGATAATAATGGAGAAGGGTACTTACCAAACCTCCGGCAAGAGCAACGTCGCGGACGCGCAGGTTCTGGATCAGGTTGCCGGCCACGTTGAGGTTGCTGAGCTTGCGCAGCAGGGAGGTGCGGTCGACCTGGCCAAGCTGGGTCTCCCACAGGGAGGTCAGCCGGCACTGGCTCAGATCCAGGTAGCGGAGGTAGGGCGTAAAGGCGAACACGCTCGGAGACACGCTGGTCAGCCGGTTGCCGGAGAGGTCCAGGTAGCGGAGGAAGGCGTTGGTCTCGAACATCTGGTTGTCCAGGACGACGATCTTGTTCTCGGACAGGTTGAGGGTGACAATCTGCGGGAGGCGGCGCAGCACGCCTGGGGGCACCTAGGGTAGCACAGAGTCGGCGTTACAGTGTGACGTTGCTGGGATCTGAGTTTGCACGAAGCGCAAAAGATACGTGGATGGTCTACCACCAAAAAATAAAATTTTATACCTCTGTCAGATTGTTTGTTTGCAAGTTAAGGGAACTAAGATGATCCATGCCGCGGAAGCTGTCCTCTTCGAGGCTCGAGATGCTGCAGTATGAGATGTCGAGCTGGTACAGGGCGCTGAACTGACCCTCGAAGCCTCCGGCGGGGAGAGCCATCATATTGGGGTTGTCGGACAAGTTGAGGGTCTCGAGCACATCGCAGGTCTTGAACAGGTCGTGAGCGAGCGGGCCCTTGATGTCGTTGGCCGAAAGGTCAAGGTCCTGAAAAATAGATCGTTTTGGGTGAGCATTCTGGTTCGCACTGCCGCAGTCTTGGGTCGGGCTGGTCGCAGCAATGACCCACCTGCAGGTGTCGCAGAGGCTCGAAGGCGCGGGGGTGGATGCGCTCGATGCCGTTCTCGCTGAGGTTGAGACGCGTCAGGCCGGGGAAGCCGAGGAAGGTGTCCCTCTCGATGGCTGGGATCAGGTTCTGGGAGACGTCCAGCTCGTCCAGGCCGAGGATCTCGACGCCGCGGAGCGTGGTGAGCGAGTTGTTCTGCAGCAGCAGGGTCGTCAGCTCCGTGTTGTTGGCGAACATGGCCGTATTGATGGTCATGAGGCGGTTGTTGGACAGGTCCAGCTCCTCGAGCTCGCCGAGTCCCGAGAGGGTTTCGGGGTGCAGTTGTACGAGCTTGTTGCCGGCCAGGATGAGGCGCTCCAGGTGCTTCATCCTCGAGAACACGTGGGGGGAGAGGAACTGCAAGCCGCAGTTCGACAGGTCGAGCTCGTTGAGGGAGGCCGAGTTGAGCAGGTAGCTGTGGGAAACAGGCATTTCGTTAGGGGCAGGTTCAACGGTTCGCCACTGCATTCCACTACCGCCCCGTCGCACCCGTGACCTACCTCTTCTCGAGGGTGTGCTCCACGACCTGAGCCACGCCGATGGGGTTGCCGCGCAGGGACAGCTTGCGCAGCACCGAGTTGTTGACGAACAGGTCCTGGTGCGGGATCATGATGTGGTTGTTGGACAGGTCCACGTCGTACAGCTCGCTCAGTCCCTCGAACGTGGCCAGGCTCACGCCCTTGATGGACGAGTTGGTGATCTTGACCGTCGTCACGAACTGCAGCCCGAGTGACGCCAGCGAGTTGTTGAGCAGGAAGAGTCCGTCGGCGAACTCGGGTGCGTCGCTCACTTCAAAGTGGTTCACCACTCCCTGGAAGCGCTGGCCCTGCAAGCCGAGAGAGGAGATGCATGGTTAGGTTCAATGAGGACATCGGGGGGAGTAAACACTTGGGGAAGCTGCTCGAGGACAGCGGGGTAGCGCACCTTGAAGTCGAGCGACGAGCACTTGGCCAGGATGCCACCGGAGCCGGCATAGCTGCACTTGCACATGGGCTTGGGGCAGACGACCGAGTGGTGCTCCAGGAGGTCCTCGTACACGAAGTCCTTGTCCTCGGACAGCTCGAGCGAGTCCCCGGTGGTGGGCTGGGCGGGGCCCTGGGGGAGGGCGCGGAGGGGCAGCGCGAGGCACGCCACGCACAGCAAGACGCCAAGCGCGGACGGGCCGCGGCGTATGGACCCCATGTCAGACGATGAGCTGCAGGAGAGAGAGAGAGACAAAGCGCGGTCAGCACGAGAGAGGGAAGGACGCGTTGTTGCGACGCAATGAGGAATCGGAATCCCGCGGAGGAGCGCGAGAGGGGGGGGGGAATTAGCGAGTGGTTTGCACGCTATTACCCGCAGCGCGGGGATATTCGCCCCGGGGGCCGCTGGGATGCAAATGAGCAGCGTGTTGTTATCTCGTTAGGAGGACGGATGCCGTCATGGCAGGCCAATGGGGCTGCTCCTGGTCACCGCGGCGGCGCAGACGGAGCGGGTTAGAGTCTCTCTAGAGCGGGCCCGCGGCGCATCGTTGTTGCACCCAATGCAGCCTCCACATCACTCACGCTCAGCTGTCGATTTATAGACACTGTTCTCGGACCACGGTCGAAAAGGTATCGTCTATGCACTGCATAAGGAAGGCTGGTGTTTGACGGCGTGCGCACCCTGCTCCGTGTGCAGCAGCGGCGACGCGGCCGCGCCCGTGTAGGCGACGCTAGAGCCTTATCCGACGTTATCCGTTATCGGTCAGATAAGCCTCCCGCCCCTCCCCGCCCCGCCCTGCGAGTCGGCCGCCCCGAGCGCCCTGCACCCTGCTGCCGCGGCCCGACACCACCTGTTTTTTATTTGCGCCCTCGCGGCCCGTATGTCAACACTCGCGCCAGTCATCATCTCCATCGTCGTCGTCGTCGTCATCTCCAGGGCCCCCACTCGCGTGGACAGGCCAGACCTCGCTGTCCTGCCTTCCTGATGGACAGGTGACGGAAGAGAAAAGCGCCGTGACTGCGAGGACGGCGGCGGCGGGCCTCGAACCCGCGACCCCCTAGCGACCCGCGACCCCCCCCCCCTCCCCCTCTTATCGCGATGCCCTCGCGGGTTGAGGACGACGTCGACGACGACGGCGCCGCGCCAGGCGCCGCTGCGGCAAAGACGAAAAGAAACGGGGCGCAGGCGGGCGCAGCAGGTTGGTTGTCCCGTGGCGCCGTCGCGCCGCTCTGTTCCGCCCCTGCCTCCGCAGCTCGCGCAGCCCGTGGGGACGTTGACTCGCATTAATTGCACCGGTCTCCTCCAAGAGACACAAAGCGAGCGCGGCGGCGGAGGCGGCCTTGGCGGCGACGGCGCTCCGCGGCGGGGCTTACGATATATGCCTGGGCTGGGCTGGCCGCGCCTGCCAGTAGCAGCAGCAGCTCCTCTCTCTCTTTCTCTATCCCTCGCGCGCGCGCGCCCTGCAACACAAGAAAAACAAAAACACGGTTAAAAAATGACAGTAAAAAGGTCATGCTCACACGAGGACGCGGGGCGCGTTGCTCCCACGACAGACAAGACGATGACGGCACAACCGCCGACCCGCCGGCGCAACGACAGCAGCACAATCAACGCGCGATCGGGGAGGAAATGATGAACGGGCGCGAGCACCGACAAAAAAACCAACAACAAATGGGAACACAAAGAGGAAGAGCCAGGCCAGCAGCAGCGAGCAGGACGACGACGACGACGGCGGCGCCGCTGATGAGACGAGACGGTGACGGATCGGGTTCGGGCGCCGCCGGGGGGATGGGGATGCGCGGGGGGATGTTCCCGCTCGCGTCGTCGGCGCGAGGCGGGCCGGGCGACATACCTCCGCCGTAACCCGATGCGTCCCACGCGTCACGCGATACACCATTCATTCGCGCTCGCTCGCGCTTTTTATTTGTGTGTTTTCGATTCGCAAAGTCGGTTACTAAATTACATTGTTATGTATATTATTATTGTTTAGCTGTACCCTGCTGTGTCTCGGGCGAGGTTTCGGGGAGCACGCGCCGGTGCGGGCCGGGCAGGTTTGCCTACCCGCTCTGCGCGCAAGGCACCTAATGGCACCCCCAAAGAAACTATGTTCGTAGTTTTGGTTTTGTCTCCAGTTTTCAAGACAAATGTTCTTACTTCAGTCCCTACTCACGCTCTAAACAGGCAATGCTTACATAAGGATGTTGTTCTCAACAGGCCCTGTACGACTAGAATTAAGAACGATGTATCGGTGCACCCGCCCGCATCGGCGCGTGCGACTAAACACAGGGTGCAGACTTTTGCCAAAACAATAATCTGAGCAGTCTTTTGCCTGACGTGGCTACACTATACGTGGTCATTGCACCGCCACATGCAATACCCACTCCAACTGCAGCGAGGTGAGTGTAGTACACCGGGCAGAAGAGCCCCGCCGCCGGCTGCCAGCCGCGGTGATTGAGCGGTCCTGGGGGCTCTGGGCGCCCTCCTATCAGCGTGAGTCGCGGTATCAATCGGCGGGCGGGGACGTACGTGACCACCTGCAGGAGCGCCCCGCCCCGCCGGCAACACATTTGGATTCAAAGATGTGTTATAATCCGCTGCTGTCAAGTCGGAAGCCCTTCTCTTGCTCCGCGACACGCAAATCCCCCCATCTCTCCGCGATCCGAACCAAATGCGACATGTATGTATGCATACTCCGCTCCACTCTGCTGCCCGAGGGGAAGGGGAAGGGGGGGGGGGTCAGCTTCGGGGGTCCGCTGAATCCAATCGGCCATCGAGCTGCGCCCGGTTGGTCGTACCCGGCAACAAGATACAACAAGTAGCAGGGGGCAAAAGAGCAAGCAGGTCCTCCACTCGTGCTGCTTTGACCGACTGCACCCTCGGCGATCAGCTGGTCCTGGCGGCAGCGCCCGGCCGTATCATTATAGCGTATCGGCTCATTACCGGTCGACGTCAGCGTGTTCGTCTCTCTACAAGGCCGGCCCGGGCCGGACCAGCCCGACGTCCAGTCCAGTCCCACCCGCGCGGGTCCAGCGGCCCGCCCCGCCCCCCGTCCCGTCGCGGTGCCGCGCCAGACTCATCCATCGGGTGACGTCACCCCCAACGAACCCCATAACAAACACGGTGACGCTCCCCGCGTGTGTCGATTTGCGGTGGCGGCGTCGGCGGCGTCCCGTCCCACACAATCCCCAGCAGCAGCCAACGGGCCGCGCCGGAGAGATTGACAGGACAGGCCGCGCGGCCGCCGCGGACACAGGAAACTGACCAAAGCAGCCACTTCCGGCCGGATGAGGCCAAACAGGGCAGGGCAGGGCAGGGTCACAGCCTGGCGGGGC